CAAATCGTGACTCTCGTCAGTGTCCACTTCTCATCCGAAGATATCTCAAGCCATAGGAAGCTAGCTTGCCTCATGCCTCACATATGCTGGCATCACGGACGTATAAATACGTCCGTGGCTGGCATGCATGAACAAAGAAATGCAGCAGCCAACCTGCACCGCTTATTTAAACATGCTCGATGTATTCCTTTGCGCTCATACATGTCAAGGTAGAACAGCGATGCTTTCCGGGTTCACCGATCTTTAAACAACCTACCTGTGTGTAGGGTAGCCGTTGCTAAGCACGCTACATACTACACAAAACATTATTAAGCACTCGCTCAATCATCAACGTCTCAAACACCGCAGTCATTGAGAAAGGAACTAAAATAAGTCATTTTCATAAACAATCAACATGTTGCAACTTACTTAAATGCATGTTTGCGCTCACCGGACCGTAACATGCAAGCTTAGTTTTTAAACTCTGCTTCATCATCAAGCGATCGATGTGTTTATTGTCGTATAATCATGTTTGATCGACTCTGATGCCGCCGTTATCTGATGGTCTTCCGTTGTTCTGCCGTCATCGCGCTGCCCCGGAGCTGGCCATCTGCCGCCCCGAGTCGGTGATGGTCGACCGATCGGCTGCAGGCGGTGGCGGATCGTGGGGTGAGGGACTTCCCATCAGCTGACGAGAGGAGAGATTTCCTTCATCCTACGTGACAAGAGACTCGTTTCCCTCTTTCTTGGGACGAGAAGTTCATCCACCCACTGGATTTATACTTTTGCAGGATGAGGAGCTGCATTCTTCTCCCTTTGGAACCAGGGGCCCGCTCCACTAGGGCCCCCAACGTAGACTTTTTGAGGATCTCATGTCGGATTCATGAGGGCCCGCTTCGGACTTGAGGTTGAGCAGGTCCCTTTCTCCACGAGACAAGAGACTCCCTCCTTGGACGAGACTAGGGTTTCCCTTCCCCCCAAGTACTGAACGCTCCAGTGGGAAGACCTGCAGCTCTGACCTCGGTACCGGCCCTGAACTGAAGGACGGTGGGGGAGACAGGTGGCAGGATACAAACTTCAGTCGATATTCCATCAAACCTTATCTTAAAACGAGGGAAGTCAGGAACGATGCAAATTTTTAGTTGCCGGGACCCTGTTCACGTGCGATTTGAAGTTTTCCTAGTGTTCGAACTACGAGGTTGCTGTTTTGCCCTCACACCCGGCTCCCCGCCTGTCACTTCACGCTCTGCTGGAGCCTCGTACTTTGTATCTGCAATCGTCACGCAGACTGACACATTGCTGCATATTTACGGACCCACACCCATTCCAACGCAACTTAGCCCGACGTACTAAAGCAGCTGCGAGACGACCGACTGCCTCGATAGTGTCCCCTCGTCGGACGCTGCGCCGAGGCCCGCAGTGCCATTACAGAGCTCTCGCGCCGCGATGTCGACTGATATGAAAATGCCCTCTCACCGCGCTGACACTCTGAGTGGTGGCCTGTTGCGACGCTTGACTGATCCCGCTCCGCACGCTCCAGGCTACCACTGAGACTGTCACTTTGCCAGTGGTGCCGCGAGAGAGGTGAAAGATGAAAAATGGGCTTATTACCTAGGGGATTGAAGCGTCGCTTGTTGATGTATTGTGATTCCATGCACGGTGCAGGTTTATTCAATTATTTATGAATGTTGGGGCTACATTTATGGCTGTTTGCAGAGTAGGTAATGTACCTTGTGTACATATTTATTTTTCGCTTTATTTTTCATGCTTAATAATGCATAGGTATTTTATTCGTCAACTGTGCTGAACACCAAACTAGCACTGGAATTTACCATATAAGAAAGGAATCTGAAGGCTGCGTCTAACCTACCTATGTTCTCAATTATCAATATGGCCATTCACCATTCATCAATACCACATTCACAAATTGCCTAATGAAATCGGATTAATTGACTCATCACCGGTTCCTATCGTCTTGATAGTCTCGCTCGCCGGTTGTGCAGTAGCTGCATAAATCAGATGCGCCGACATATCTTCTCTGCGGTGTGAGGTACGGCGCCTGTGCAGCCATTATTTGTCTCTGTCGTGTCTACTGAGTGCCGTGAAGTGTGCTCCTTATCTCTCTCCACTACGACCGATGCACCGCCCGGGTTTTGTCTCTGCTCTGGGGCCTAATTCGGACATACGGCTGTCGTCGGCACTGAACGCTTTATTGGTATTTCCCGAGGGCAAATTGCTGTGATAAACACACCAATCGAGAATGTGGATTGCCAAATGTAGCGGTGTGTATTTTGGCGTCGTAAAACTTGGGAATTGTCGTCCTGATTACTGATCAGTGAATTCCAGGATTCCAGATGACATTTTACCGTTCCGCGTATTTTCTATTGACTGTTCCGCTTCGCCAGGTAGAGAAAGCTGTAGTGGTTTGGAGTACCGTACTATCACATTTGCCATTTCTAACAGCTTCTTACTTGTATCAGGTCAAACTGTTAAAAAACATGTGGTCCTTGTTTGCATATTTATAGTATAGGACTGTAGGTGTTTCCGCTGGCTCCGTTATAATCCTTTCCCAACTCGGTCACTGACCGGCTGGCGTCTGGTACGGGACGGTAGGAGAGGCGTGGTCGGACCATATGTCTCATATTGTGCCGCCGGGTGGTGCCGCTGTTGCCACCGGCCCACCCGCGATCACTCGACGGGAGTCCGCAGCACACGAGAGTCTGCTCTCTATGGCTCTGCCTCCCCTCTTACATCTTCCTCCTTTTCCACTACTTTCCTCCCTTAACTTCCTCGTCATTTCTCTCTTTCTTTTTTATTTTCATTTTCCTTTCATATCTTTTGCTTATTTTCATCCTTCTTCCCCTTCACATCTCCCCAATTCACATGCATTCTATTTTGTTCATTCTCGTCTAAGCAAATTACTCCCTTATCTTTCCCTGCCCATCTCGACTCCTCCCTTCCGTCATTGCTGTCACCGCTATTGCTGTCTCCTGTCATTGCCAGTGTTCGGACCAGCTCAAACAAAATGTAAGGGTGATGGCGCGGCAGCAGCACCTACTGCTGTCTTGGCGGGAGGCCTACACTCTGGAGCTAATGGAACCTCTTTAGTGTCATATTTGTCATAACTGACGGCCTCGCGCCGTCCTCGCCTGCGGCTATAGGAAGGATAGGGTACCATTCTGTTAATGATATGATGCTTGATTTTAGTGCCATATATCTCAGTAAAAGTCGTCTAATTCCGCCTTTGAAGATGCCTCCCTGCCTCCAATCTCGGATCTGATGGCCGTAGTTATATCCCATTAGTCAGATCCTCAGGTGATGATCGGATAAGGAACGGATGCACTGCGTGGTGAGCTGACCCGAGGGGTGCGTTTTTATGGCCACCCCGGCGCCGTCCACGGTTGACCGACGCACATTGCTGGGGGCTCCCGCTCGTGTTAGGGCTGACCTAACGCCATGACCACCGGCCTTACAGAGAGCTCAGAGAGTGGCGTCTCTGACGGGTGCGCCGCGGCGTGTCCGATTATCTCTAATTGGAGCGGTCAGCCGTCCGGACTGGCTGCGGACCGGCTCACAGCTGGCGTAGGTTGACCGTTACTACCGCGCGTCTGCCGGTCCCTTGCAGCCCGCTCATGAATCTGGCCCGACCGCGGTGCGGGCGGCCGCTGCGGTTAGGATGGCCGGCCTACTGCTGACTAGCGGTATCCGAGCAACAGCTGGGAGATGTAAACATTTTACGGCTGCCTCCGATCGAGTTGGAGGCTTGTTCTGCTCGACATAGCGCTCCGGTGAGAGGCCCAGTCGGTGCAATGCTCCCAATGGAAGATAACACGCGGTGTTGTCAAGTCATTGCTACATTTTACACCTTGCATTTTATGGGACGAATGTGACGTCTTTCCGCGTTTGTTTATCACGGAAAAGTGTGATGTTTTTGTAAATAGTTAACTGCAAGGACCATCCATAAAAAAATGATTGATGACTCTTTTGCATCCTAAATTCATATGTTGCTTGCTATCGCGCATTTTCTCACTTAAGTCCTGTTATTATCTGCGAACTGAAAGGCGCGATATATGCATGTAATTCGTTTATAATAAGGCATTATTACGTTCATGTCCCATTAAGGATCGTATGTTTGACGCCTGAAGGCAGCAATAGCATGACCGGGTATCGTGGTAAGTTGTTTCTAACGGTTCATGTGCCTATGTGTATGCGGCCTGTAATTTTTCACCAACGCGATACATCACAGCAACACGGCACACCCATTACCTTTTTTTCAGCCGTCCTTTTTTAATCCTGCTAATGTCTGCACAGCTGCTGAAAGAAAATTTTGTTACTGCCACGTTCAGTGGTAGCGTTTGACGCGATAGCGGGAAATTCATTTTTATGATGAAATAAAATGTTATTTATATTTGAAGTTTAAGTTTTTGTTTGTTTATTGTACCCTTGATTTTCATTTTTATATCTGCTTAAAATCTGCGATCAAATCTATTTAAACTAGATGAAGAGTTCGACGCTCTGGTGCCAAGCACATCATTTATCTGAACTTGTTCTGGTCCGAGGTGCCGGGCGCCGATAAAGGCGAGGACAAATGAACTACACGGATACGGCGGGATCTGTCAGCGTTACCTTTGTGACATGCGACACCCTAAACTAATGACAGTAGCGACACCGAGTTTCGCCCCGTCGCCTCGCTGTTCACCGGAGCAGCTGAATTCGCCTCTCGTCGGCGCGGTGACGCGTGGAATGGTGCTAGCGCCCCGCACCGAATGGCCGTCTCCGCCGGTTCCTCTCGACTTGGCTCTCATGCCCCGCTCTCAGAGCCACCATCTCGCCTCCCCGCTGACTTCGATATGGTTGCCTGGTTTTCGGAAAGTATATCGGCGACGGTGGTGGCCGACGCAGGCAACTCTCGCCCTGACGGCCGTGTAACGGCGGTGGACTGGCGCCGTGAATCGCGTGCGCGGCGCGGCGGCTCCGGACCGTCAGCCCCGAGCCACTGCCAGTGTCGTCTGAGACGCGGAGCCGACCGGGCGGGCCGCGCGGACGGCGGAGCGCGGCGCCGCACCACTGCACCATACTGCACTCTGCACCAGTGAGCACCAGCGCGCACCGCCGGCACCATGGTGAAGAGCATGAAGGAATTCGCTTCCCGCTTCCGGCGCGGCAAAACGGCCGGGAAGCAGAAGACGGAGGTCAACTCTGCCCGCTCTGTGAAGAGTGAGAAGTTAAAGGCAATCGAGAAGACCAAATCGAAGGGCTCGGTGGGTCGTTCACTGAAGCGACAGAAGCGTGAGCAGCTGCGGCAGCTGCTGGACAGCTTTCCTCGCGAGCTGGCGGCAGGCGAGGAGGCTGTGGTGACTGATGTGGCTCGCATGGTGCAACGAGAGATCGAACGTGAACTGGATCAGCTCTCCGCTGACGAGCGGGCGGCGGGCGATGATGGGGACAGACGCGCCGGCGCCGGTGGTGGTGGCAGTGACAGTGAGTTCTACTCGAGTCGGCTGGAGGTACGGCGACAGGTGTCAGTGGCAACTCGGCCCGAGCCGAGAACCGCAGGCAGCGAGTACGACTCGTGGGCTGAACAGGAGGACAACTTCAACAAGATCTACGAGCCCATTGACTTCCGGGTGAGGTTGGACTCTTGGCGAGACATGAGTCGGGAAGAGATGCTGGACAACGTTCGTAGTCAGCGTTTGCGGCGCGAGCTGCGCCATCTCAGCCGGTCCGAAATCCTGGCGCGTATCGCCACTCTGCACCGCAATCCGACGCAGTTGCGGCGACGGCGGCGCTCGGGCGACGAACGTCACGGTCAGGAGAGACGGCAGGTGCACGTCGAGGCCGACGTTCGCGTCGTGCGCCGTGGCCGTGACCTGGAGCGACGTGCCCCCGAGGGACACTCGGACACCGACTTTGACGAGAGCGAGTATGTGTCACGGTCCGACGTCCTACGCAACCTGAAGGGCGGTCGGCGGGAGGCGGATGGCGGTCACAGTGCAGGGAAAGCTCGGAACGGTTTTTCTGGTGGCGACGGTGGTAGTGGTGGCAGCAGAAAGTTTGTGTCCAGGCTCGAAATGACACTCACGCCAGTGGCGGGTGCCCCGCCGCGCAGGCCTCGCTTCGATGCCGCTTCTGCCTCTGACTGGGACTCATGTTCATGCACTTCGTGCGGCTGTGACACGTGTTCTGTGTCGAGCGCCGCCACGATCGTGCGCCGCGGACACCACCGCGAGTACGTGGTCAACGACGCGGCCTCAGAGCGCAGCGAATGCGACTCGTGGTCGGCGGCCGAGTCTTCTAAGAAAACCTCTGATCATGTCATCATGGAGCAGGAACATCGTCTGAAGGCGCTGTCCAGACTGGATGACGAGAAGAAGCGGAAGCTGGGTGCTGAAATCGTGGAAATGGTACAACCGGTGAGTGTGGCTACGCTTCGGAAACAACGTCAGGTTCGCGAGCTGAGAAAGCAACTGAGTGGCTACACTGGCGACTGGGAGACTCTGGAGGACATCAAGGCCGGCAGGAAGGAGCAGCTGGTGCGCGACCTGCGCCAGAAGCTGGCCGAGACGATGAAGCAGCCTGACAGCGACGACAGGGTAGAAAAGATTAAGTCAGCGCTGCGCAGCGTGATCGAGGCAGATGACGTGGCAGCGCTGCCCAACGTCAACCTTGGCCTCATCTACGTGCCAATGGAGGAGAACATGAAGGCCAACTCGGGCTCCAACAAGACCTCCAGCAGCAGGGAACAAAACACTGACGCTGACACGTTTGGGAGCTTGGATTCGCTCATTTTCGAGCCCAAGCCTCCGAGCACGGAGGCCATCCTTGAAGAAGAAGAGACTGAAAAGCGTTCCGAACCCTCGGTCCATGAAGACAAGGAGGGATCGTCTTGTAATTGCTCCCCATCAACTTCGGATGGCGAGGGCGGTGACGAAGATGATGGAGAGTCCGTAGATGAAAACGCTCAGCTATCGGATGACCAGTCTTCAGAGGACGAGAGCGACGGATCGGTTGAGGTCAAAGCCGGCAGACGTTCTGTTCAGCTCATGCCTGAGCGTGTTATCAAAACAACTCAGCTGCAAGTGCCCAAAAAGGACGGTTTCTTCAAGCGTCTGTTTCGCTTCAACCGAAAACCGAAAAAGCCCGACGATGATTTCGAGGTTCCGCAGGCAATTCGTGACTTCGACCACATTCTAAACGTGGCGATCGATTCTGATCCCGACAGCACCCTCAGTTTTGAGAGTGTCATCTTCAAGGGGCCGAGTGTGGAGAACATGACGGCGAATGAGACGAGTCGACCTGCTCCAGAGGCACCTCCGTCTCCGAAGTCAGCCACACCAAAACTGTCTGCTGAAGACACAGTAGAACGAGTCGTTTCTGCCAACATGAAAATGATCAGCCCTGTCGCCAACGGCGTCAGTCCCGACTCCGCCGTCCTCACCGATTCCAATGACGGCGATCAGAACACGGCCAACCATGAGGAACTGCCCGTCACCGAGGATTCCAGCAGAGGTGCGAACCTGTTACCGCCCTGTAGCATCTCCAAGGGCACCATGCCGACGTATGTTGGGAACCTACGACGTCAGGCGTCACTGGCTGGGTCGCTGCGCTCAAGTCACTACAGCCGCGATACGATGACCCGACCGCCCAGTGCCGGTCCAAGCATCTACATGGAGCGTGTCCAACATCCTCAGACCGAGGATGTTACACGCGTCGCCCAGCTTGGTGACATGGACAGCCGTTGCAGTACCAGAAGGCGCCACGAAAAGGTGACGCAGCCAGGCACCGACACTGTTAGCCATCACTACGCTCAGCTCAGTGACCCTGCAATCAACGGCGACGAGCAGAGGAAGATGCCTGCTTCAAGAACTCCGTCGCGTCATGAGATTCAGCGTGGCCATGGCCAGGACGATGATCAAACCACATCAAGCGATCAGCAAACCGACCAAGAACGGGAAACCACGTCTCCGGCAGCGTACGAGCGTGTCCACTACGACTCAATCGACAGAACAGCCCCGGCGGCGGAACAAGCTCCCGTCTCGCACAGTACGTACGAACGGGTATCGCTTCCTCAGGGCGAGCCCTCTAGTGACTCACCTGTGGCCTCACCCACGTCACCTGCGGCGCCAGCGACTGCCGAGCTGCTGGTGTACGACTCTCGCCACGGAGAGCCCCTGTACGGCACCCGAAATCGCGGTTTGGTGCAGACGGCCGCCTGGTGCGGTGCGTACGTGCGCACGAGCGACGAGGAGGGCTCAGACGGGCGACCACTCGTGTTCCGAGACGGCCGTCCGGTGCCGCTGACTGAGGAGATGTTCCGCCAGACCTCCGACGAAGCAAGTGACGCGGAACGCGCCAGCGCCGGTGCGCCGCAAGTGGAACAGGGTGCTGGCGCCGAAGCTGGTGTGAGTGCGCAGGACGAGAACGCTTACGAGGACATATCGCTGGGCGATGAACATGAGGTGGAGGATGAGAGCGCTCCGGAAGACGCAGCAACTGAAGACCATCAGGGGGAGGTCGGAGGTGAGGGTGCTGAGGCAGTTGAACAAAACGTAACGGAGCCGACACCTGCTGAAGAAGGTGTCGGAAGCAGTCCTGCAATGCAACAAAAGCTGGACCGGCTGGCCAAGGTGGGCGCCGTGCCCATTGGCTTCAAGAAGCGAGACTCCATGCTGCGTGAGCTCAAGTCAAAGCTGAAGGAGCGGTTCAACACCTCGGACACTGAGCCGGAGCCCGCAGAAGGAATGCGCGACCATCTCGTTCGGGAACTCTCCAACGGTGGCTCGGTGGCGCTCAAACGTGAACAGATGGAGAGCCAGTTCTCCCGTATGTTCCAGGCGGCGCGCGCAGGGCTCATCCACGTGCCTCCGCCCCCGCCTCCGCCGCCTCCCCCGCCGGCGGTGGCGATACCGCCCGCCCTGGCCGTGGTGGAAGAGACATCGGCAGACGAGGGCGACATCCCGGTCGAGGTGCCTACACCAGACTATGACACGGACTCGTACTGCGAGTGTGAGTTTGAGGAGTCAGAGTCAGAGCGTGGCGGTGCTCCCAGCGAACACCTGGAGCGCGCTGTGGCCGCTGCCACGTCACCTCCTCCAGTGGGTGTGCGAAGTCCGGAGACCGTTCTGTCGGCAGAGCAGAGCGGTGACAGACACTCCCACCGCAGTTTCCATCTGCACCCGCCGCTGGACTCTCTGGATCCGCCGCCACAGGGCGCCCCGCTGTTCCGCGCTGCAGCCGCTGCCGCTGCCGCCGCTACAGCGGGCACCACCTCAGCCTACTCGCTCTCTAAGACGAGCACCACCTTCTACTCAGAGCGTGCCGGTCAGACCAGCGAGCTGGAGGCGCCGGGCTCTTGGCGAGTGGAACCCCGCTCTTCAGTCGCCTCGACAGCTCGCCTGCCGAGGTACTCGGGCCCGCGACCGTTCCGTGCCACCTCGCCACGGACCCGGATCACATCTCCCGTGGGTGTCACGAACAACGCTGGTGGACCTCGGGTCAACTGCTGGTCAGACCTCGAGAGTATCATCTTCGCGGAGGGCAGTTCGGGCGAGTCGGCTGCGGCGCCGCCGCGGCCGCCTCTACCCACCTCCCGCATGGACACTTACCAGGACGAGTGGATGTACTGGGACCAGAAGGTGAAGCTGCGCTCCTCGGCCAACCCGGAGGACCGTGAGCGGTGGCGTGACGAGAAGACGCGCCGGATGCTGCTCTGGCTGCATCACAGCGACTCCACGGCGGCCGGCTCGGCAGTCTGGTGGCAGGTGGGTGCTGCGTGCTGCGGCGGCCGCCCGCGCCGCGGTCACGGTCACGACTGACTTCTGTGTCTCTTGTCTGTCACTGACTGATGGTCGCACTTCTGTGACTGTCTGTCACCTTCCGCTGGGGTGCCGCCGATTCGCCGAGCGCTCCCAGACAGTCTTTCTTGCACGTTTTGTGTTTGTGAGCCAGCCAGTGGGCCTTGTTTGATCAGCGTTAGGGATTTGTCCGGCTGCATTTCGGTGAGAAATGCAGCATGATACAAAACCAACGTTGGTCTTTATTTGTTGCCATACATTTTTTTATCTAGTTTGATGCGTAGATTCGCTCAACTAGCTACGTGATGCGATTTTATGGATAAGCATTATTGTCTTCTGTGTTGCCTAATATGTTGTGTATAGCTTGGTGCATGTTGATTGATAATACATAAATTCAATCACTTTCCGTCTTTGGGTTTTCTGTTCTGTTTGGTGAACGGGTAGAGAGTTGGGACCTGGGGGTGATTGCCTTCAAAGCATGCTTCATCTGTGAACGATTTTGAAAGCCACTCTGCCCGACGCCGATTTCATTTGATTATACTTGAGAACAGCGTGCTCGAAAACCACCTTCATTCAGCATGCCCCAGCGGAATGGGCATAAGTATGAACCCTCGCACGACCAGGCCATTTCTCATAACACGAACGACCAGGGGGGGGGGGTTGTTACGACCCCCCCCCTGGCGTTTCGAAACGGAAGGTCGTAGAGCTTAGCGGAAAAAACCAACGGATTGCTCTCAACGAGATCTCGCGATTGGTGGTATATTTTTTGGTCCTAGGTCAACATTTGACCTACTTTTGACCGGTCAAAGGTCAAATTTTCGGAAAAATAGACTTTTTTCAACTTTCGGCGGCGATGGCGGCAAAACGGTGGGAGATATCGACTTGAAACCTTCACTATCGTGTTCCTTGATCAATTCTCTATCGTTTGGTATGTATTTCGTTTCCCTAGCTCTAAAAATGGCGCGTTGGGAGCGCCGGAAGTCGGCAAGGTCACAGTCGGCGGCAGAAATTCGAAAAATCAAAATTTAAATTTTTGAAATCTGATTGTATTTTTTGATTTGGGAGGTCCATTTGCTCCCTATAGAAGCTAATATTGCTGCATATTCCCATTGAGGTGACAAGAATTAGCAAAATAGTGGTTCGGGCGCTTTTCAAAAATAGTACCGGACGCTGTTCCTCTTGTGACGTCATAGCTCCGTGACCTGACCTGACCCGGTCAAATTTCTTATACCATATGATAGCCAATACTTGCCCCAACATGCATGGGAAGTTTCATCACGATCCATCAACCGATGTCCGTACCACCGGCAGGAAACCTCGGGCGTTGGCACTCAGTTTGTGAAAATCCGGCCGGAGGCTGTACCTCTTATGACGTCATAACTCCGTGACCTGACATGACCCGATCAATTTTTTTTCGGCAAAAGATGCGCAAAGGTTGCCCCATAAGGTATTGAAAATTTCAGCCCGCTACGACAAGCCGTTTAGCGTGCACTTCGAAAAAACCTCAGGGGGGGGGTTGATACAACCCCCCCCTAGGCGTTCTAGGGTTAACAGAGTCTGCTGGCTTAGATAATTGGAGAGGCAACGAACCCCTCATTACACTAATTGCACTGAATAATGACAGTTCAACCCCAGCGCGCAACTTCCCTTTCGTCATTTTCTGTTGTGTCATCAGCGTACAATATCCTTCCGTTTACGGCATCGCGACTATCGCTCACTTCTGACGACAAACCGCTACCTTACAAACCACTCACTTTGTATCGCGTCACGTCAGATCTACACAACGCGTCACGTCACACGCCGAATCACACGTCACCTGACGTCCGTGATGCCATCAATCATGGCTGGCGGGCAGCGATGTTCCACCTCTGTCGCCTCCGCGCGCAGCCATCAAACTGACATCAGTCACGGCTTTGAGCCATTGTTGGGCCGCGGCCGGAGCACCGTCACGGCGGTAGTCGGCCGTGAGGACAGCGCTCGGCAGGCGGTGGTCTGGGCACGTGTCGGCCGTCGTATCGGTCGAGCGGTAACGGGAAACTGAGCCAGCCTAGAAGGCTGTCGGTATGTGTGTTTTGGTTGGGGGAGTTTTGAAGGTGCCAGCGAGATTCAAACATCCTCTAAGCAAGGCTGCTGTGCAGAATTTCTTTCAATGCGATGTCTGTACAGTTTGCGCAAGCAAAACGATATCACACCAGAAAGGATAATTGCAGTATACGACCAAACGTCCCCATCTAGCGTAGCCGTGCCGAGTTGCAGCGCCGGGGTCGAATTGGAGTCACAGTCACGGGTCTCCGACAGTGCCGGAGTCACGGTCATGGGACGTGGTTTCGTGAGGGCTGCCGGAAGGTTCTGCACGCCAGATTTCGTGATGTGTGACCGGGCTGCTGGCTGACACGGCATCTCGGGCAACGGACTGACTGGCCTGTTACATATTGAAGGGTAGGGTTGTTCAAAAAAACCGAATTTTGGAAAAGTATACGGGCTCATGGCTCGTGTGGTGAGGTATTCTTTTCTGAGTCCAATGATGCCCTTTTTTCCGAAAAAAAAAATTAACTGCTTCATGCTCCCCAAACGGCTTGAAGAGGACCATGTCACGCCCGGCGACCGGCCGGTGTCAATAAGGGCGAGAATTCCCCGCCGCGCGCGGGTGGAGGCGCCTTATCGGCACCGCGCGCCACGACATCTACCGGGCGGCCGGCCGGGCGGTGGTGGGAGGGAATGAATGCGTGGCCTTCTTTCACATGATATGGGTGCATTGTGGGAGCGGAAAGTTTCAGTGCAGCATCTCGGTGCCTCTGCTGCGGTGTTCTGTGTCGATTGTTAAAAATAAGCCAAACAGAACTAATAAAAGACTCAATACAATTCGGGTAATTTACTCAAAACATTCCGTTTACAGAATACAGCTGCCTCCTTAGCGTACCATATCGCTTTGTTCATTCATCAAGCTGCAAACTCGGAGCAATAAAACAGCTCTTTGCACTGCTGTTGACAACATACATTGCATTTGGACGGTGCCTCGCAGCCCAAATAGGTATGCTGCTGCGCAACTGTATGCGAAAATTTATGAAGGATATAGGAGGAGCTGGCATGGGGCTCAAGCACAGAATATGGAGACCTCGCACAGTCATTGCCTGGCCCAAGTTTTGGGGCATGGCTCTGACCAGCATCGGCGTCACTTATGTCATGCAGTTTCGTTGAAGTGAAATGCTGAAGCAACAGGATTGACGTTTGTGTTACTTATATTAGCATTTCGAAAGAAAAGATAACATGTCCGGGAATGACAGGGTGGCCGCCCTGACAGTGACGAAGTGAGAAGTGAGTAGAGACAATAGCGGGAGTACACATATAAATCAATTGTGTCGCTCAATCCAGCAGCGGCACCGGCAGCCCGGCCGTGCCCACCGGTGTCGTTCAAGACCTGAATCCAGAGCCGGCATAGAGCGCGGCTCCGCCCTGAGACATGAGACATATCCCCGGCGTGTCATGACGGACAGACTTATGCATGACCTCGCCCGTTTGGCGAATGACGATGGCAATGTTTACTTTATTACGCATTTAACAGATATCTACGCAATAAATGTATCGTGCTAATCGCAACACAGCAATCTGGTTTTGTAGTAGGTAGAACAGACGATTGGAGATGTCTCGTATCGATGTGGCCATTAGAAGCCGCGGAAACAGGGCTGAGCCGTGCTCTCTTTGCCGGGTCTGAATACGAGTCTTCGTCGAAGTTGAACTGGACGCTGATCGCTTCTAGTTCTCGCCTCAAAAGTCAAAACGAGCCTTGGAAATAGGTAAGGTATAGGTACTGTATACATTGTTGTATTTATACAGGCGAGGTACTGGTCTGTCCGTCGTGACACGCCGGGGATATATGTCACGTCAGGGCAGAGCCGTGCTCTATGCCGACTCTGGATTCGGATCTTGAACGACATCGGTGGACACGGCCGGGTGGCTGGTGCCGCTGCTGCCCGAAAGGTTGGATTGAGGGGCGCTTGACTTGTATGTGTACTCCCGTTATTATCTCTACTCACGCCCAACTTCGTCATAAATCAGAATGGCCACCGCATCATTCCCGGGCATGTCATCCTTTTTTTTTTTAACTGCAAATGTAAGTTAAACTTAACGTCGATGTCGGGGTCTCCATATTCTGTCCTTGCACCTTGCCAGCTCCTGCTGTTCTTAGTAAACTTCAAATTCTCGCATACAGTTGGCAACAGCATATGTGGGCTGCAAGCCACCGTCATGTCTAAAAGCAATGTAAGTTGTCAACAGCAGTGCAAACAGCTGTGCTGTTGCTCAGAGTTCTCTTCTTGACTAATGAACAAAGCGATATGGTTCATTGAGTGGCAGCTGCGCCCTGTGTCACGGGCGTTATGCATAGTCTTTTCTTAGTTCTGTTTGGCCTATTTTCTGAACCATCGACACAGAACACCGCAGCAGAGGCAACGATGTTGCACTGAAGCTTTCCGCTCCCACAATACATGGCTAGCGCACCCCTATCATGTGAAAGAAGACCACGCATTCATTCCCTCCCACCACCGCCCGGCCGGCCGCCCGGTAGATGTCGTGGCGCGCGGTGCCGATAAGGCGCCTCCGCCCGCGCGCGGCGGGGAATTCTCGCCCTTATTGACACCGGCCGGTCGCCGGGCGTGACATGGTCCTCTTCAAGCCGTTTGGGGAGCATGAAGCAGTTAATTTTTTTCGGAAAAAAGGGCATCGTTGGACTCAGAAAAGAATACCTCACCACACGAGCCATGAGCCCGTATACTTTTCCAAAATTCGGTTTTTTGAACAACCCTATTGAAGGGCACCCGACAGGCCCGTGGCCCGGGTTTATCTCGAGACTGCAGGTCTACCGACTGGCCCGTGACCCGTGTCAACCGACTGCAGGGGACTGTCGGGATTGTCACCCATCTGTCAGTGTAGACTGAGGGCTTTTGGGATGCTTGGAGCGATGTGGCCTTTCAGGGGACTGTGGTCTAGCAACACAATCACTCCGTCTGTTGAACCTATCTTATAAATTGAGACAAGTATCTAGTCACCAGATATTAGGGCATTGAGATTCTGAAAATTGTCCTACATAAGGGTTTCTGGCCCAGGAGAGCCGGTATGAAACTACAGGTGTGTGCCTGGTCAGCCTCGCTCGCTCCAAAGCCAGCTGTTTCATGGACACCCGTCGACAGATTGGCGTGCTTCAGGCACCAGCCGGCGTTCCCGGTCCGGGACGCGTTTCACCGCGCCAACAGTCAGTAACAGCCGGTGGCACGGCCGGCCGGACGGCAGCTGCTACCGCCCCCGCAACGGTCAACAATGCGGCTACCGTTCGTTTATAGAGCATCCCTGCTGTTGGGGATGGAACTGGTGGCCGGCGTCTCGCCCTTGATCAG